GGGGGGGGCCTGTCCGGGAGGCGGGGCAGCCCTCTCCGTGCCCCTCCGGCCAGCAGGGCTCCCCTACATCCTCTGGCCCAGCCACTGCACCTGCCTCTGAGCCCAGAAAGATAGCCCTCAGGTAACCATGGAAACCAGGTGCAGGCAGCTGGCCCTGCAGCTGACCTTAGCCCCTCGGCCACCAGTGGCCACTCCCCGTGGACCCCAGCAATTCCTTGGGTCCCTTTCTGCTGGGGCCACGGTGGAGCTGCTAGAAAGATTCCTTTGGGGAGATGGTCAGCGTCCTTCAGTTATTTAATTTATTTTTTATTTTTATTTTTGCTGTTGCCTCCTGGAAACTGACTTGAAGTTTCTTCCCACAAGCTTGTTCCTTCAGCTCTTAGGGGCCAGGGGTCCCGGAGGGGATCTGCCCCCCGCCCTCCGGGGCCGCCCCCCCATTTGCTTTGCAGAGGAGGGCAGCTCCCCTTTGACTCTGCAGCCTGGGCCCGTCCCCAACCTCACCCAGGGGCCGCTCTAGTGCCCCCGCCTCCGGCCGCTTGGCGCGTCAGTGCCTTCCTACGCCGGGGCCTGGCACCCGCCCCGGGCAGCCTTACACCAGCCATGCCCGCAGAGCCACATGTGTCTTCTCACCCACGGGGTCTCCTGCCCGCTGTCCCCACTCCCAGAGCCCCGGGTGGGCCACGTAGGAAGCAGCTTGGAAGACTGTCCACCATGAAGGGGCTCGGACGGCATGCCCGGCCTGGCCCCGCCCCAGTCCCCCTGCATCTCACCCCGGCCAGGCAGAGCCCCTGGCGTCTTTCCCTGGTTATTCAGGAGACTTGCGTTCAAGCCTTAACTGGCACGGGCCAGGGTCTCTCCCTGTAGGGCCAGCAGTGAGGATGGACTCCACTGAGTTTCTCCTTTCCTTGGGGCCGTGGACTCCCCGCTCCCGGGATGTTGTTAAATCCGCGTTCTTTTTCTTTGTACACACTTTCTCTGACGCTTCACTGGTCTTGTGCTTCCTGGCCTCGGTCAGCCTGAGGGCCGGGAGCCCCAGCTCTGTTCAGGGGACGCAGTGACTTTTGGCTCTTCCGGAAGTGGCCCTGTGCTCTCCCCTCGGTGCCCCTCCCCACGTGGCCAGGGCAGAACTCGCCCTGTCCCCACTGCTCCGAGCTGCCCCCCAGCTCAGAAAGCCGTCCTGCTGTGAGGGCCCCCTGCTGGACTTGGGGTCGACGATGGGGGAGCAGACGTGCAGCAGGGACACGCCCAGAGCCGGGACAGTGTCTTCAGGACTGGAAATCCCTCCTGCTGGGCCATCCCGGGGGTGCCAGGAGCCCCCTCAGCCGCTCAGAAGTGGGTACGATTCTCTTCTGGGCCCGGCCGTCCCCCCACCTCAACAGAAAGCTTCAACCTTGCCTCCTGTAAGAAAGAATCTGCATGACTGTTTACAAACTGTAGAAACACAAAAGACTGGAGGCCCCCGCCGGGGGCCAGTGGGCAGTGGCTGCAGGCCTGTCCTTGCACAGAGGGGTCCTTGGGCCCGCGAGAGGTGCTCAGAGGCCCTGCCCGTTTCCTGCTGCTTCTCACGGGTCAGCTACCCCATGGCAGGCTGGCTCTGCTGTCCTGGCGGGAAGCACTGACTCTGAACTTGAGGTCACCGGAGCCTTTCCCAGCTGTGCTCCGGAGCACTGAAGTCTGCCCGCTCCTTCGGGGATGGGTTGGGTACATGGTTGGGGGGGGGCCCCCAGCGCCCCTCGATGCACAAGCATCCTCAATGTGGAAGCACAAAGTGGTTGTGACTTGAGCACAAGGCAGGGCTGGTGGCAGGCGGCCTGGGCAAACCCGGCCGGGAGACTCCTCCCAGGAGGCTCTGCCCAGCGGGAGACCGAGGACGCCCTCGCTCCGATAGGGCTTGGCCCGCAGCCTGTCCTAATTCCGGGACTCGTCCTGCTACTCCTGCCCTGCTGTGCCCACCCAAAGGCTTGAGGCTGGCCCTGCAGGCAGGCCACAGTGGAGGGCGGGGGGCCCCGGAGTGGCACCCTTTTTCCCCCGACATCCCGAATTGTTGAATGCTCGGTTCCAGGTCCATCCCAGCCCCACTGACCCATATCCTGTTCCGGGGCTGAGCCCCGGGAAAGCTCTCAAAGCTGGCTGGCAAGCTCCCCTTGACGGGACCATCTTCCGGCCACTGCCCACGGCCTTCTCAGCGCGGTCCTGGGCCAGGCCTCTGCTCAGCATTAACCAGGCCAGCGTTTGCTTCCGTCTGCAGGTCTGGCTCCTCTGAGGCACCTGGAGTTGACTCTGGAGCTTGCCAAGGAGAGAGGAAGGCTGAGAGAGGCCAGCACGCCCGAGCCTTTGAGGCGGTCCGGGTGCCGCCTTCCACCCCTTGGGAGGCCATCTGTGGGTCCAGGCATGGTCCGGCCCTGCTGCCCGCCAGGGGCCGGGTGGCTCGGGCAGAGGGAGTTTAAAGCACAAACCACCGGAGGGAGGACTGTCACCAGGACCTGCTCACAGGGGGTGGCGTCTCCAGGGTGGCGGAGACGCGGGCAGGGCTGCTGTACGGTCGGGGACTCCTGGCCTCTCCCACTGTCGCGGGGCCTGGCTCCCGGGCATCCTCTGAAGCGGTCTGGGCTGGGTGCGGGCACACCCCCTGGTCGTTCATCCCCACGTCGCCCGGTGTGCACACCACCGTGTTGTGTGGCCAGGGCCTGCCCTGCCAGAGCGCCGAGCTCCTTCCCACCAAGTGGCCCAAACCCAGCGCATCTGTCCCTTTGCACCCCAAGCAGCCAGGGCTTGGCTGCCACCCCCCACAATCCCTCCTCTTTCGGCTCCCAAACCCTTCTCAACCCTCTGATGTGCAAAGATAGAGTTGACAGGGAAAGTTCTGATTCTTCTAAGGCATCTTTGTTCTACTCCCCCTCCCCCAGTGCTCAGAGGAGCTCCCAGCTGCACCACACCCCAGTCCAGCCCTTTGAACTCCTGTCCCGAGGGCCTTGCAGGGAAGCAGGGGCAGTTTCGGGAAGAGCAGAGGGTCAGAGAAGACCCCTGCCGTGAAGCCCTGCCCTGCCCACCAGCTCTTTTCCAGCTATCCCCTGCCCGGGCGCAGGGTTGCATTTGGTTCAGCTCCTCTGCTGGGTGGTAGCACAGGTGTATATATGTTTTGTACGTCTGCGTGCCGATGACTGTACATAGTGTATGAAAGTTATTTAAACCTCATGCTGTACATTTCTGTTCCCGGACCAGATGTGAGTGTTCTAAGAAGCCGTCATAAATAAAATGCGAATGACCCTTGTCTGTGGTGTGTGGTGTGACCCTGAGGGCTGCGGATATTGGGCTGGTGGTCCTCCCTGGGGCAGGGGTTGGGGGAAGGGGCTGGTGGCGCGGCGGGGGGTGGGGGCAGGCATCTTGGCCAGGCCCTGTGTCCCCTCCTGGGACAGGTGCGCAGCTGGAGGCAAGGGCACCGGTGTTTCCTGAGCGCCTGCTCCATTCCAAACACTGTTCCAGGCGTCGCCCATCGGGTTTTCACTACCTGTGTGACAGGCGGTGTTTGTATTTTCTGAAATGAGAAACATCTCAGAGGAAGCGGCTTGCCGGGCATCCCAGCTGCTAAGGGCGGAGTCATGGCTGACACCCGTTCCTGTCGCTCCATCGGGCAGGAGGCGCCGTGCGGGTTGCCCCCCAGATGCGGTTCTGTTCCTCGTGGCTTAGGAGGAGGGGACAGAAACACAAACAGTCACACGTGCCAACGGTTCCACCGAAGGCTTGATGTTTGCTTCCAGATCACGGCTTCTCAGTCTTAAAAACTCGTATTCCCTTTTCTTTTTCCCACTGCCTTAAAAATCCTCTGTGGTCTGCCTATACGTCCCATTATTTTGAACATAAAAGCCTCATTTTTAACATAAAAACGTCTATGAGATGCCAAGCAACCCTGTCACGTGCTTTTCAACCCCGGAAGACACAGAGTTGTTAGTGTAAAACGGAGCTGCTCTCATGCTTGTAACTCACGAGATCCTGTTGGTTACTACGGTTTTCCAGGCATCGGTGATGCTCATGTAACTTAGGATTGTATGCACTTCAGGGTCCACAGTGTCCCTATGCTCTGCACTAGCTGTGTGTGCAAATCTCTGCTTTGTCAGCTTTAGCTCTATCAAAACATTTTCATAACAGTTTTATTGAGATGTAATTCCCATACCATAAAATTTACCCTCTTTTGGCGGGGTGGGGGGGGTGAGTACTGACTGCATTTTGTTTCTTTCTGTATTCTCTCAGTGCCTTGTGGCCACAGATGCTGAGCAAACATTTAAAGAGGGAGAATGGGAGTGAATGAAGAAAGAACAGCAACCCTGGCGGGTCGAGTGATGAGCTGCCAGCAACTATCTAAACCCACCTTTTCCTTTTGAAAATCACACATC